TTATTTACTTAGTTAGTTACTTAGTCAGTTACTTACTTACTTACATACTCATTTACTTACTTAGTTACTTACTTAATTAGGTACTTAGTTACTTATTTACTTACTTATATATTTACTTACTTAGATACTTACTTAGTTACTTATATAGTTACTTACTTATTTACTTATTACTTATTTACTTACTTTTTATTTATTTACTTACTTGCTTTCTTATTTACTTACTTACTTTCCTATTTACTTACTTACTTACTTTCTTATTTACTTACTTACTTAGTTACATACTTACTTAGTTACTTGCTTACTATATTTACTGAGTTACTTACTTACTTAGTTACATATTTACTTAGTTACTTGCTTACTATACTTACTGAGTTACTTACTTACTTAGTTACATATTTACTTACTTACTTATTTTATTTATTTATTTAGCTTAGGGTTTTTATGGTTTCTGCATCAAGACCAGTGTGACGTTTTACATTTTCTTTTCTTTAACTGGTCTAAATCCATCTATGTCTAACTGTGGATCTCAAATGATCAAAACTCTGCAGTCTGAACATAATCCATTTTGAAAAATAAAACAAAAAAACATAACATGTTAGGACGTTCAGAAGACAGACGTTTTTTTAATAAATCTAATGCAAAGCAAGCACGTTGCATAACTTGCATATAACAAAAATTCAAATAATAATGAATTTTAAGAGAGATTCTTCAAAGAGGTCTCCTGGTGCCTTTAAATATGTAAAGAAAAAAAAGATTATTGGAGACACAAATTATCCATAATTTGGAAAAAGAAAAAAAATCGAAACAATTCCTAAGAATCTTTTTGTTTTGTTTTCATTTACTGAAAAGTTGCATTTTGGCGATACAAGGTTTTGTCCTGCCCGCCTTGATTTCGTGCTCCAGATGTTTCGTCTGCATTTAGTCGAAGCACAACCGTTGGAAGAGCTGCTGAGGTGAATACGTCCCAGATGTATTTGTGTCAGTCTACAAGAAGATAGTGTGGCTAACTTTGATCTGACTGAAGCAAGGTCTATTCAAGTTTAATCCAAGAGGACTAAAATAAATGAAGTATTTTTTTTAATCAAACTTTCACCAACCCCCTCTTCAGCTTTGTAAGCTTTTGTTTTGAAGCTTCTTTTGTCACTGTGACACATCAGAGCCCCTTGAAGACTGAAAGCCCCTCCAAGTGGCCTTCGACACTCAGCTGTCAGGCTCTGTCATCTGATGCTAATATGATCTGTCACCAAAATAATAATGATCCTCTCAGGTGTAAATATGTCAGAGGTGACAAATTCTTGTTCCAGGGTTCAAATATAAGTTGTGCAGCAGACACAAACCTCAAACCTTATCTGTGATGAAACCTCATAAAGCTTCTGCTTTGAGCTTTATGGAGAAAAATATTCTGTTTCAGAACGAAGAACGTTCCACCTGAGGTTTGCTAAAGAGGGCTGGTTTTATAGGTCATCTTACAAAACGGTGTTTCACACAAAACCACTTCTTGAGGTTAGCACATCTGCATCATGTGACAGAAATGTGGACACAAGTGGAAAACACCGCAGACGTCAAGTTTTGTGTGCATTTTTCCAAAAAAGGCTCAACTCCTTAAGGAACTGGCCTGACACCTCTCATGCAAAAGTTTTGACCTATAAAGATAATTTCATGTTCAGAAATGACTGACCAGAGTGTGCCCCCTCCCCCCCCACACACACATATAATGCATGCATGGGAAATTCCATTACCCTGTCTACCTATATGTTTGTATAAACCCATGTGTTTGACTCTGTTACCCCCCACCCCCTTCAAAGAGACTTTCAATCTCTGATGAGCTCTCTAGTATGGAGGACGGAATATGACAAAAATAAAAAAGAAACAAATCAATATATAATAACGAAATGTATAATTTAAATATTAAATACATTATTAAATACACATTAAGTTATTTATTTCATGATCTATTTATTTATTTAATTTTGTCACCTCCCGTCCTCCAGTGACACCATGAAATTATGGTAACTGTCAGTCTCGCTCGTCAAACTCAGTGGGCGGGACTAACGCTGATCATGTGAAATCCATTGCTTCGGTCTGAAGTCAGTTCACACAACTCCCTCCATGTAGCTCGTAAAAGCGCGTCTTCTTCTTTGCGTTCATGGTACGAAAAAAGGTTTCATCCCAATACACGTAAACACAATTACCACTTCCTGACGTTTTGGAATATATTTTCTTGCCTGTGGATCAATCCATTATCTGCGGTCGATGTGTCTTTGCTTGCTGTGAAGAGCAGCCAATCAGGCGTCAGGTCTGTGCCCTAGTCCCGCCCACTGAGTTTGACAAGTGAGACTGACAGTTAACATCATTTCATGGTCACTGGAGGACGGGAGGTGACAAAATTAAATAAATAAATAAATCATGAAATAAACAATATAAAAGGTACATTTCATTGTTTAATGTTGTATTTAATATTTTAATTGTATATTTAATGATTTAATGATGTATGTAATAATTAAATGATACATTAAATTATGTTTGTATTATGTATTTATTTATTTCATATTGTCACATTGTGTCCTCCATACTCTGAAACCTCCCTGTGTGTCACTCAGGTGCTTCCTTCATGGGCTCCTTCCTGGCCCGGAGTCTAGGGTCCCCATCCTCCCACCCTCCTCACCCATCTGGACCTGCTGTCTCCCCCTCCTCCCCATCCTACAGGGCTGGAACCCATTCGAGCACTTCCTCTATCTGGTTCCCCCATTCACACGAAGGTAAGACACACACACGCACAAGACACACACGCACACACCCACACAGGAAGCAGCTCGTGTCTCTGGCTAATCCCAGTTCTTGGTTTGGGATTAGACTGAGATGGGGCCATTAAGTGGTTTAACCAACGCTGAGCTGAGGCCAAACACGTGCAGCAGTGATGATGCTACTTATAGCAACACTCACAAATAAAGCTCTCTTCTGGCTCTGTTTGTCAGCAAGCATGTGGTTTAATGTTTGTGGTTGTTGTTTTCTAGCTCAGAGCTCAAGCACCATGACATCCCCCCCCCCCCACACACACACACACACACACACACACCGACACACACACTCCCTCTCACCCAAAGTCATGAATCGTCACGCAAATTCACCCTAAAATGCATCATCACCCCTCATCTCACTATATCATGTTTAAACTCACCCCCATTTTTACTATCCCCTTCCCCCTCTGACCGCAGCCCCACCCTCAGGGCCCCCTCTGGGCTAACCGACCTCCAACGGCCCCCTTCCTGATCTGTCACACACATGCACTGAAAAAAAAAACATGCGCATCCACATGCATCATGTCCTTGTTTGACTGTTAACCGTTTGTGGTGAAATCCTGAGCTTGACTTAGTTATCTGTCTCTTTCAGGTATGTCAGCACACATCTGTGTGTGTTCAATATTGTGTGTTTGTTTAAGTGGGTGTGTATGGTGGATGGATGGGTCTGAAGAGATAACACATTTAAAAAAAAAGGCTTTAACAAAGAGACAGTTTACAACACGGGCTGTGTTTCTAAGCTAACGGAAATCCGAAGTTGAAATTCACGTTACTTTGGTTAATCTGCGAGTGAGTTTGCGCACTAACAGCCAGGGATGATCCCCTAAAAGAACTCGTTGCATCACCTGTGGAAACAAGCTGTCAGTGCAGCCGTTCGCTTAGATTTTATTATGCATCATGCAAATCTTTAAACCTTCTGTCTCACCAAAATACTACAAGTAATTTTACATTTACTTTGACACAACTTAAAGCACTGATGTAATCACTAACAAAAATAAAGGCTGGCATTCTTTAAAGGGATGCTTATGGCCTGATATCATTCATACCAGAGTTTTAAACTGAGATAACTCCTACACTGAGACTCAGTGGAGTTAAACATGAAGCTGTGTGAGATCTAACACTGGATCTGCAATGCGTTGCTGCTCAGAGTATGTGCTGGGGATCACTCTCAGCTACTACCACACCAACTCTTAGTATGTGTGAAACTAACTGTTAGGGACATTTTTGTGTTGACTAATGTCAACTCAGAGTGGAGGTCATCTTGAACTGGATCGATTCCAAAAGATCATCAGTTATAGATGTACAGTAGTTCCTCATTTATCAGGGGGGATCCGTACCCTGAAGCCCTGTGATACGTGAAAAACACCAAGTAGGAATAGTAGTACAAGTAGTAATTTATTTAGTATATACACACAAATATATATATGTATATATATATATATATATATATATATAT